CTGTCTACTAAATTGTGTTGCAAGATTTGGCAAAGTAAGTTAAGCGTGTCCAGTCAAGCTGAAACATTACCCAGTAAGTGTGGCCTCTTACAAGAAAAACGATCACCGTAAACATTTTGTCTGAAGAACAACCAAAAAGATGCTAGTTCAATTTGTAAGCTTAAAAACTGCAGAGATAAAACGATCAATAGAAAACATCTCTAGATATCAATATCTGAAATCGCCTTTTTCACATGATTTCAGAGATAACATGACAAAATTAACCCTAATGCATGGAAAGTGAAGACAATTCCCCCGCGCTCCGATTGGCCTGTTTGGGGGGTCGTAAGCCATGTGCCGTGTCCTGCATCTACTCAATGGCTCAGAGCAGACTGTTCCAGTTTGTCACCAGGTGTTCTCGTCGTCCCAGTTCAGGTCATCGCCATCACCCCAGCCTTCTGCTTCGGTCTGCAACAACCAAGCGCACCAGGTGAGAACCACTGAAACATGAACACAGCCTAAACACAGCCTACAGTAAATGAACATGCCAGTGCTGCTCTAAATGAAACCTGGAGAGATTCTTTCATTTTTGCAAAGCTCAGTTTCCAGTGACACTTACTTCTGCCACGTCAGCTGCGGCGAACTTTGCTGTGAGTGTTTGCGTGTCTATTGATTGATCCAGCTCTGTGGGTTCAGGGTGTTCAGAAGGTGCAACTGTAAATAGGCCGGTATTGGCAACAGTCCTTTCAGAGGGCAGCAACAACGCTGCAGAGGACAACTTAATGTCTGGGACCATGTCTGCAAAGAAGTCCAGCTCAGGGTCTTTCTGTGGCTTCTTTTTCACTTCAATCGTGAATTCCTCCCCCAAAACCCCGCTTCCTGCACCTTTTCGTGTGTCATTTGGCTTGGCAGAGTCTAATGATTTGTTTGGTTTCAAATCGCCCTCCTGGTCCCAGCTATTGTCCCATGTGGTGGGCTTTCTCTCTGTTGCAGTTTTAGAGACAGAAGACAGCTTCAGGGCTTTGGAAGGCTTTGCTGCTTCTGGTACAGTGCTCATTCCAGAGCCTTCATGCAATGGTATCCCAGAGTCCCAGGCTGATGTAGTAGGGGACTGATCTGAGGTCAGTTCAGAGTCGTCAAAATCATCCCACGGCTCCTCTTTCACATGAGACACGGCAGGGGTATTGCTGTTGGCTCTTTCCTGCTTCTCTGCAGGTTTAATATAGATCTGCACAGGCTGATCTTTGTCCTTTTCCACCTCGTCTGTGTCACTCCAGTCTGGCCATTCCTCAGATTGTCGGTCAGGCTTGTCCAGCCTTTTTAAACTGTAGGCCTCTCCCCCAGCCAGAGCAGATTCTTTTCCCTCGCTGAATCCATTCAGTGGTAAAGTCATGTCTTTCTTCATTACTGAGACTGTAAAAGGAACAGACAAATTGCAAAATTAATGACAGTACAGATTTTTATCTTCTCAAGACAATATCTTCCCAAATACCTTGTACATGAATCAGATTCATAAAGACCCAATTTTCCAATTAGATTTAGCAAAAAAAAAAAAAAAAAGGACAGTGAGATGCCCACTTCCAGATCTGCCTTTGCTCAGTACCTGACTTTTTTGCTGGTGCATGCTCTCCAGAAGAGAAAGAGTCCATGTTCTCTAGGACCACCTCTCTGCTTCCAGAGGGCTTAGGGAAGAGCTTAAGGATTTTAGGTGGCTGAGACATTTGTGGCTGTATAGTGTCAACGATGTGAATGGGAGAGCCTACAGAGAAAGAATACCTCTGTAAACATTCCACTAAAAACACAAGAAATGAGCCGAAATGTGATGCGAAATGTTTCAAAGTACCAAAACTGCTTACTTTCTGGTGTGACCTCAGTCGACTTAGTGAAGTTTGGGGTTGTCCGTTTGAACACCTTAGCTCTTTCTCCACCTACCACAACCTGTGCTCCAAGTAGAGGAACCAGAACCGCTAGGCTCTGCAGCGTCATGGCAACTAGCGAATCATTTGTGTCTCTCATTCCAAGTAAAATCTGTTGGAACGAGAAAAAGCTATCATTGATGCAGGTAAACTAAAAGTCCCAATTTCAGAACCATTTCTGAAATTACATGCTTATGATAATGGCCCATGAAATTAATGTGAGTATCAAATATCCATTTGTCTGGAAACAGCACAGCATTCTTACGTGACAGGCAGGGGTGATCAGCCGTAAAAATATGACAGAAAAATATAACAGATTATGGGTCCGTTGTGGGTACTGTAATATGCAATGTAACACACACAGAGGTGAAGGAAAAGTATTCCCAGAATCTCACCTGAGGTAGTATCTGATTCTTCAGTTCATCATGAGAGAAAAGGTCAGCATAGGCCTCAATGTGGGAGAGCAGCACCATTCTGACGTGCTCTTCATTAACTTTGAACAGCTTCAGTAGGTGAGGGGTCACATATTTACGGTAGAGGGGCACAGAGAGGAGACAGTCCTCACTGCTGCCACTCGAATCTGACCGGAAACCCAAGAAAAGGCAATTAAAGAAAAGCAACTTCATGACTGTCACCATATACAAACACGAAGACAAGGGCTTTTCCTCAGTTCCTTAAACAGTACAATATCAATATTTTGTCCCAAGTGACAGTAAGTCGAAAGTTAGAATCTTCACTGTAAGCAAAATGCTTAGATTCCAACTATAACTTTGGCCATTTCTAACATGCAAAATGGAATATAACCGTTATTATTCATTATGTTTTCTTGGCATGGCATGTTTGCAATATTACTGTTGAAGACAGGGTCCAGATGTAGGGTTTGACAGAGATTATTCCAAAAGAAAAATCCATTGTGGTGTACCGCAGATATTACTATTACCCTTCTTTGGCCTGAGGAGATATGGGAGGAAGCTTTTTATGGCTGTGGGTTCTGCGAACACCAGAGAGTTGAGGAGTTTGGGGACAAGACGAGCTGCGATCAGCTCCTCAGGAAGACTCTGAACCCGGTCTAGGAGAAACCTGCAGGGACAGCCCCACATCGGCACTGAAGCATGCATTTCTAACAGCCTCACCAGTTTACCCTTGTGAATTTGTCTTCATATTCAAATTAAATATCTAGTTACATTAACGCTAATCCCAGCAATCATTTTAGATCTTTTAGATTTAATACTAAAAATTAAACCTTTAGATTTAAGTACTGAAAAAATAACATACACTTAAGCTCGCTTGTGAGCTGTTAAGATTTCAACATACAAAGATGACAATATGGGGGCTTACTTGAAGAATTCATTCTTCTCTTCTTCAGTTTTCAGAGTCAAGCTCTTCAGAAAATTTACTATTTCAAGAAAGTCATTCCTGTTAAAACAAAAACATACAACCAATATTAAAACTTTATAGATGAAACAACAGAGGTAACAGGACAAGTAAATTTAAAACTGACGTAGTCAAAGGTCAGAGCAATTTAACTGAAGCATAACTAATGCATGTGAGAGGAAAATGCTCTGCACAGGCTACATTCACAGGAGCGCACCTGAAAAACTCGTGGGTCAGCAGAGTGCTGAGAGATGGGCGAGAGAGGGGGTCGGGGTTCAGAAGGCTCTCATGCAGGGTGCACTTCAAACTCTCAGACAGCTCCTCAGAGACTACAGTACGGAAGGACAAAAACAGAAGACGGGTCAGCTCATCAATTCGTCTGCGATACAATGATATTGACTATTTGGCACAATTACTCTTGCATATAAACGATGCCTTTCTAGGCAGATCTTCCTGTTTTAAGTCATAGTTTTGGAATGTCATCTTCAAACTACATGATATTCTTTTACTGATCATAAGTAGTGGGATCAGAGGGAGGAGTTCCTTGGGATAAGGTGGGAGGAAATGACATTTAAATATTTAACTTACCATAACCACTCAGGAGAGGGATAAAGGTTTCCACCATCACTCCAAAGGAAAAGGTATCTCTTGAATGCCCATATTTGTCTGGTAGTGTTTTAAAGCTTTCAACCTACAATGAAGTAATATATGTGAATCTATTTTTTAATTATTTTATTTTAATAACATGACTTAAGAAAACACCATTAGAGGAGTCCTCTACTTACCCTTTCCTCAGGTGGAACTGCACTTTTCTCTCTCACCGTCTGAATGCTTCTAAGGAACTATTAGCATAAAGAAAACATTGCATTTGTCTGCCAATGAAACATGCTCAATGACTTTTAATAAAATTACTGAGGTGAACAACTGAACAATAACACAGATTCTTCCTATCAAGTTAAAGTGCTTCAAATTACATTTTTTAATGATTATGAAATACACTTTTCGGTCATTTACACATTACTTGAGACTCTTTGCAATGTTCCGAGTATAAATTTTTATTCAATGTAAATCTATCACCTCAGGAGTTGCTTCAGAAAACTTGCAGACCGTCTCCATTCCCCCAAGTTTCCAATGGCCATCTTCACTAACAAACACTGATGACATGCAGACGTTGTTGTGGCTTGACTTCCCCTGAGGCAGAGAGATAAGGGATTGTATATTCTTGTTATTTCCAAGACTAAATGGTAGTAATGAGTAGAGGTAACATATAAGAAATGTATTTTGATTCTGAAGAGTAATATCGCAAAGCCAAGGTCCAAACACAACACAATACAGGGGTACAGTACAATACAGGGGTAATACTGATGACATTAATGAAGTCAAACCACTCTCATCCATATTTTTTTTGTTGAGAAATAGTTTCTCTGTGAAATCTTTTTGTCCACTGTTAGGGAACGCTTCTGTAAAGCTGGCTGTTCAAAAGAGCTGGGTACCCACTCTGTCGTGAAGGAAGACCAGGGCTTGCAGGAGGTCGTAGATTCCAGCACAGATCTCCTCAGGGGAAAGATTCTCCAGCAGCAGCTCCAGGGGCTGCACACGCTCCGTAACCAGGTGGATTCCTCCATCCTGAACCGAGCAGGACAGAAAACGCAGCAAGCACGGGTGCCGCAGGGTCTTCAGGTGCTGAAGGAGAGGGACACGCAAAGTTAGACCATGACAGGTCACAAGCAGGGCTCATTGGCCTAGGGGTATGATTCTTGCTTAGGGTGTGAGATGCCTCAGGTTCAAATACCAGATGAGCCCTTTTTTCACAACATTGAGTTAGCAAATCTCGAATGAAACTGCATGAGCTTTGCTTGATCTCTATTCTTAATTACATGACAATTTTGTATCCTTGGGCAAAGTACTGAACCCACAATTTCCTCAGTTAATATCCAGCTGTATAAATGGATAACATGTCAACAAAAAAACTAACCTATGTAAGTCATTCTAGATGAGAGTCTGCTAAATGACAATAATGTAATGTAATGTCACATGTGGAGTAGATCTGCTGCAGAAGCACAAAAGCCACAATCATCATCCAATTGTTACATAACTTGAATAATTGTAATATACTAACCAAAAACTTTTCCCAGCCTCAGAGATTAACACCAATCACTTCCACATCCTCAACAGGACGACACAGCACGATTCATTCCAGGGTACTAAAGCAGCAATTTTATGACATGTAATGCAACAAGCAACAGCAGCGTCTCCTTTAAAGCCTGGTTACCTTTGCCGCTTTGCTGACTTTGTCTTCATTGCCCTGTTTGTGAACAAACACGGATGCAGGCTTGCCGTCCTGGAGCTGGGCGGAGTACATGGTGAGGCCTGAGGGGAGGGTGAGAAGGGGCTCCTCCAAGGTGCAGCTCCTCACGGCGCTGCTCTCCGCTCCCATGATCACCCTGGAGGCGCTGCGATATTGGACCCAGGAGATGACAAGGCCACCCTTCATAAAGCATATCATAACTTATAATACCATGCGGACGTAAACACGGTATAAGGACCAAGTACTGTTGCATTTGATAACATTCACTCAGGCTCTAGACTCTTTATGTATACTTCTGTGACAATCTTGCATTGTGCTTCCATTGCAACGATAATCACACCGTAAACAAATGTTTCTATGATAATCTCAATGTAAAGAATAAATATATATTTATTTTGTACATGTGAACATCAAAATACGGTACACTTCGGCAGACGTCGGTCATTCTGGTAAATTTTTGAGGTATACATACTTTCTAGCTAAACACACGTGTTCATGTTAAACAGAAGCTACAAACATTTCATTGTGAATTCGTGCATTTTTCAGCTAGATAATTTCAACATGTGTCTGGCTAATTAGCTGTCCTCATGATTGGAGGAAACGAAATGCAGCTGGCTCACTGGTAACTTGCTAACGTTGGCGTCCTCTCGGGCTACTTACTAGTGTTGCAAACTTAGGTCGCCAAATACCTTAGTTAGGAAACTGCATTTGCTAACAACCTAACTGGTGTGATTGTGAAAATATTGCTTATCATAAGTAGGGATAACTAGCTAACGTTAACTAGCTAGAAAGCAAAAACAGGTCATCGTTTCAGGAAGCTAACGCTAGCTATCTCTGCTCATGACATGAGCCTGACATGAGTCCAAGAAGAAACATTTCAGCTAGCTAGCTAACTCAATATCTTGCACTGTTGCCAACGGAATATGGTACAGTAATGTTGGCTCCGTGCATTATTACTCAGAGCTACTCTACGCATTTCTCAAAATCGACGTGTCACATCAGGGTTTACCTGCGCAGTGGTATGTCACTTCTATTTGAGGTGTGCTGGCTAGCAAGCTAGCTTGTTAGCTAGCTAGCCATTGATGGCGACTTGGCTTTTCAAGTTTCACGCAGCGATTACACGGCTTGATGCCTATGCCTGCTAGCTAAATGATACGTCCAATGACTAAAAGATATGGGGATATCTGCATTCCAGTCAATGCCAATGGATGTGCAAAGAGTCCATTTTCACTATTAACATCGCGCTAACACCAGGCTTCCTGTATCTTGCGTGTAAACACCGGTTTTTCCTGTCACGGATTTGGAATGGGCCATTATAAATCAGGGGATACATACACAGTACAGAAGCCGAGACGTCCAGTTAAACGTCAATTTAGGAGCGAGTTTTACATTGTAAAAATTACTCATTGGTTGTATTTTTTCATATTTAAGTTACAACTTCCGTGTATTTGCCCAATAAATTACGTGGACGTCGCTAGCTTGCGTACTCTACATTTGACTGTTATGGTCTCTTCCACGTAACCAGTTGGCCAGTGTGAAGCAACGCAGGGGTTGTGCATAGCGCTGCCTAGAGAACATTCAGCGATGTGCGGAAGGCCGAGTACAACGAAAGTCACCCAGTTTAGCTGGACTGCCTTAACTGAAGGCAATGCAATGTAACGTAATGCAAGTGCGACAGATTCCCGGGCACAACGTGCCATATCTGAAACTATAGGTAGTTAGCGAGTCATATACTACAAGCAGACTAAATTTGTTTGCCAACTAACATCCTCCGCGGCCTACCAACATTGAAGTAACCTTAAGTAACTCTGTGGCAACTTCATCGTGTACGATATTGCGTCAGAGAATGCGGGAGGATGACTTCTGACATATCACATCACATTATTATCATTTAGCAGACGCTCTTATCCAGAGCGACTCACATAGGTTACAATGTTTTACATGTTACCCATTTATACAGCTGGATATTTACTGATGTACCCTGCCTAAGACTACAACAGCAGTGCCCCAGGAGGGATCAGACCAGCAACCTCTCGGTTATGAGTCCTGCTCCTTACCACTGTGCTATACTGCTGCTCCAGTTAGTATTTTTATAGCTCCTACTCAGACATGGAGTATACTTGCATTTCATGTAGAAATGCACATGTACAAGACATTTCCATTCATGTTCTGGCACTTCTTATCAGAATTGCTGCAAGTTCTTCAAATGCTTAGATGTTTGTGCATTGCTGTTATCAGTGCAAAGCACATGTCAGATTGGACTGAGGTCTGGGAACTGAATATTGATTTTGTGCTCATTGCTATTGATTTTTGTGCTTAAACATTTCTTTGTGGATTTAGATTGTTGTCTTACTGGAATGTTAATTTTCAACCTCATCTGAGCTTCTTGGCAGAGGGAGGTACACATGTAGCCCAAATTCTTTATTGTGTACTGGGGTTCATGACAACCTTAACAAGGGCTCCACGACCTGTTAATGGAAGAAGCATTCAAAACATAATAACCGCCTACCCGTATTTCATCACAGACTGGGGTCTCTCTCAACATAAGCTTCTATTTTACACCAAACATTGCACTGATGAGCAGGTCAAAAAGCTCAGTTATTGCTTCCATATGACAATAAGACAATAATTGTCATTCAGATGTAATTTGCCAAATTAAAGGCTTCAAGGGAAATCTTTTTGTAGTAGGCCTTCAGAAGAGGCTTCTTCCTTACTACCTGGCCATAAATGCCACAGTCATGCAAGTGATTTAGAATAGTACTTTTTAACACTTTGTATCCTGAAGATACCACTTAGTTTTAGAGATCTCCAGCTGTTGTATATAGATTGACGGTTGCCTCCTAAATCACATGCTTTGTTGAAGAACAAAAAATTCAATATGTATTGAATTATATTTTTACTCATGTTTAATCAGGGTATTAATAAATATGGACAACTAGTCTTTGTTAGGGCATTTTATTATTTAGTTATTTTAAGGGCATATTTATGCTATGTTATGTTTTTAAGTTATTTTATTACATACTGTATTTCTAGCTTTTTAATTTTTTTGTACAAAACACATGTTCAGGGTATTTGCTATTGAATAAAATAAACTCTGTGGACATGTGTTCGAAGGAGGAGTCCTGGGTGTTGTTTTGGAGACATTACCTCATTACTAAAATGGCTCAGCAAATTGGGCAAATATTTTCCTCCTTGCGCTGAATCATGCACCAGTATCATCAAATGTTTTTTTTTTTTTTTTATCATGAGAGAACGTCTTACACAAACCATTGCCTCATTACATGGGTTAATATTGAAAGCATTTGCTTTTTCTGTTAGCAACAAGTAGAGTTTGGAATGGTTGCTGTGGTGGTCATAACCACAAGAGGCTTACTGATATTGGAGATGAATGGTTAAAAAACATTTCTGCAACACCCATGTCTACCAATATTTATTTTATTTTGAGACAGGGGAAATGAGGTTGCCATTCCAGACTATTCTACTGTATATTGTGCCTTTCATCTTTATGGTGTATATAACATCTGCTTTACACATAGACCAGAAAGAGCTGGGCTGATGGAGGTACCCTGTCAATATAAAACACAGAATGGTAAGTTACTTACTGGTGTCAGTTCTAGTGAATGCAAACAGTTATCATTGCATAATCACATATGAAAAAAAAAAAACTTGATTCCAGTAAATTATTGGCTTGGGGAACTAGTTTGAGGCGCCAATTTTGAAATAAACAGGATCAAACGAATTGTGGAATTTGAGCCATCATAACAAGACAATTATTTTTATATATACCCATTGAGTTAATGGGTGCTAATTGGGTGAAACTTAAAAAAAATCAATTTTAGGTCTGTCATGCATTGGAACATTTTGTTTTGGGCATTAAAAAGGCACTAGTCTCTTTAAACAGACGTGTTTTGATGTTTGGCCAGCTCTTGTGCAAAGCATGCAGGAGTGAAACCCGTGCAGTCTGGAATCTCTTCCTGCGTGTACATAAAAAGGTCTGTGCCTCTAGTGGGCGCATAATTTGTGGTTTAATTTGCTGGATTTTTTAATTAGAAAGACCTGCCCTGTCAGACAAATCCTTCCCCTTCACATCATATAAAAGCTGATACCCACCTAGGAAAAACTATGTGAGCTGGACAGGAGCTCTCTTTCCTAAGGTGGGTCATTTTCTTTGTTTCATTCACAAATCATTGATGTGGAATTTACTCTGTTTTACAGATATTTTGTATTTGGACTGAGAACAACCACATATTCAGAAATGCTATTAATATGTTTTATACTTTTGATTCTCTTTCTATTTTAAAATTATATTTTTCCATTCAGTTTGAAACAAACACAAGCAATGGCTGCTTCATCTATACTTGGTATCCTTCTGGCATTGTTCTGTGTTCTTCTCCCATTATGTTCTGCTCAAGGTAAGTTCAGTCACTGAGTATTTCACAGATGTGATTAATGAAGTGATGAAGTTTATTTCTAAGAGGACAGTGATGTTAAAATT